TGCTAAGAACGAGAGTTTTTTAGACAAAACGTATCATATTGTAGGAGATGAAGACTGAGGCGTATATATCGGGGAGGAGAGAGTGATAATCTGCTCTTTACAAATTCACATCAGAGCCACTCCCTTGTTGCACAAGTTTTTTAACTAAATCGTCCTCTTTATTTTCGAAAAGCAAAAAATAAAATAACGTGAAAATTCATTTCAAGCAGCATCTAATTGATCATTTATTTTCCAAGAACCTGCTCTATCGTTAAAAAATTCCTAGACCTTTCACTAATCCAAGGCAGTGCTCATTTTTCTGCATGTCAGGTAGGCACTAAGAGAGTGTATCAGGTTTGTCTTGATCATTTCTTTTAACGAATTACACGCATCAGCCATCAAATAATTATTGGTGGAAAAGATATAAAAGAAAATTTTTCCAGACAACTGATATTGCAAGAATATGTGCATTCATTTATTAACACAAATGAGAGAAAATGTTATCTATTTCTTTCCTTTCAAGCTCAATAGCCACAATTATTTTCATTACTTTTTCAATGCATCATGCGGTTTTTCAGTCAAGCGTTTAAAAATTTCAAGCTTCTCACCTCAATAAAGAATAAAAACACTATAGATACTGTTCTTATTAATTAGTGTTGTTAGATTTCTACAAGAGCCAAACAAAAACAAAGAATTTTCAAAATATTGTTTCTATAAAAGACGTGTTACATATTTTTTCAATTTATTTTAGGCCCGTTATCGATTCTACGTGTCATCTTGAACCTAATTCAATAATTCTTCTCATTCATCTGAATAGATTAATCAAATTTTCAGAAAAGTTTCCTTAGGGTTTTCGAAACTTGTGACTGAATTTCGGTCTAACCAATTCTCCTTTTAATATCAGCTTTTTAACTTCTAAAGTATGTTTTTGTTCAATAACAATACTTTCTTGTAGAGATATTTTATTTTTTACTCCAAGAAACAGGATAGAGAAAAAAATGTGAAAATTGTCATCAGTGCGGTAATCAATGTACCATATCACAAATAGTGGATGGTTATACATCAATCTAATAGTTAAAAACATCATCTTTTTGTGATATGATGCTCCTATCCCCAGTTTATGAACTAAACACTTTTTTGTGCAGAAAGAAGTTATGATATTTCTTATGGTTTATTTGATCATGACGCTAGATTTTTCTGTTACCTCTGCACTGATCCATTCCATAAGGGATAAAAAAGAAACTTTAGTATTTTGAATTTTTTAAATGAATTTTTGTGGACTTTAATAGATTTTAGTGAACTTTCAAGACCCACAAAGTCCAAATTATTAATGAATTTTGTTAGACTTTTAAAGTTCAAAAGTTAGACCAAGGTCTACTGTTTCCGCTGACTACATCTTCTTTACGCATACTATATAAAATATATTTTCTTTCTTTTCTCATCAAAATCGTCTATTTTTTATCTATAATCTATTACTATTATTTTATTTTAGCTTTAAATCGATTTCTATTCACTAACAGTCAAAACAACATCAGATAGATGTCAAGTCAACTTTCTCTCTTTCTCGTTAGAAATAATTACTGTTTGAAAAGAAAAAAGAAATCTATTTATTACACAGCTGTACTGTCATCTCGTAAAACATATTCCATCATGTAGTCAAATATCACGTCGAGTTCACGATTAGTTAGAAAATAATTTAACCTCAATACAAAAAAAAAATTGGTAGAAATAACAAAAGAAAAAAGCCAATGATTTTTAAAATATTCATTTTTATTAAATAATGAGAATTGAAAAAGAATAAATCTAATTCTCTTTTAAAATCAAAATTTATTTTAAAAATGAATTTATGTATGTTTTTTTATTTATTGAGGTAGATAAATCAAATTTATTCGAAAGAAGTATCAAACTAATTTTTTTTAACAGAAATGTAGAAAAGAATATAGAATACATTGAAGATAAAAATATCTTATACTTTTATTAAAGTTTCTTTTGACTATGTCACTTCCAAAAATGACAGGAAGACAATGTTTAGCTTTAATTAATCGTATCTTATCTTTGACAATAAATATCTCTCTATGATCATAATTAAAAACTGAAGATGAAAAATTCACGCAACAATAAAAATATCTTACTTCTTTAAAATTATAATTTAATTATTAATGAATAATCAATTATTTCAATATTTAAATATAGGAATTTTTTTCAACAAAAATCAATTTTACTATTTTTCTTTTTTGGTTGTTTATTTGTATATAAATTATATAATTAAAGATTTCCTATGAACTAAAAATATGTATAAAATACTCGAAAGAAAGAAAAATCTAGTCAAATGTTGATAAGTGTAGATACTATGTAATGATATTTTACATATTGTTTTCTCTATCTAAATCTCGTCTTTTTTAGATGTTCGGATTTGTTGATATTCAACTATTAATATATCCACAGTCATATTTCTTGCTTGATAGTATAATGGTTAGAATAGATCATTAAACTACGCGTATATTATCATTATGATTGATGTCTCTCAAAATATGACCATTAGATATAGATTCGCACTTATAACAAAAAATAGTGAAAAGATATTAACCTTAAAAATTAGATAAAAAACAATTCTATATCTCCTCATTAAAAATAGGATGATGTACTACTAGATATCTCGAGATCATATTCATATATGGACCTCCTAGAGTAATGGTAGAATTAATTTACTATAACCTATAAATATATATAAATTGAGATATATGTCATTTTGCGATATGATAGAACTGGTGAAATATGATGAAAAAGTCTATGCAATTTTATATTTTAAATAGACTAGACAAAGTTTAATTGATTAATTTTAAAAAATTAGTTATCACAAAAAAAATATGCTCATTAAAGAAGTAATAAAGAAGATGAAGAAGAAAAAAAAACAGAGAAGAATTTCAAGTACATATCGAACACTCATGAGAGTATAGTTTGTGTTGTATACAGATGTGTTTCTTTCTTTTTCTACTGAGAGTTCCACGGGGACTGACATTATAAAGACGTATTGGAAGAAAAATATGTTACACAACTTGTCAACTGCTTGAAATGTACAACAAAAATTCAGTATACTAAAAACTAATATCTAATTTTGATAAAATCATTGATAAAGATATTTAAAATGATAATTACCTATTTGCGTATTGTTTTCATCTATACACAAGGTAATAAGAATATTAAAATAAAATTAACAGTACCATTGGTTTCGTTTTTTTTTTAATGCAATATTTTCCAAAAATAAGAGTCTTTATTATTATAAAGAGAAAATTTTTTTTTTTTATAGTTTTATTTATGTAATTATTCGATATAGTATTTTTAATCGTATGATCTAGTCATTTATACTAGAATAACTTGCGTTTAGATATTTATTAGTCTGGACTAGAGAGAAAAAAGAAAACGACACAAAAAAATTTGCGTGAGATAATCAGTGAATGAATGATTGAATGACAAAAGAAAGAGACATAGAGATAATGTTTCGATATTACAAAATAGTCTTACACAAAACTAAAAAAAAAAATGAGAATGAAAGAAAGTTAATATACTGTGGATGATAAAGAGAAAAAAAATAAGAAAAAATACAAAATATTTAATTTGATTGTAAATAGTACCAATGAGTTTGCACGAACTAAATAATCCACAGTAATAATAATACAGCAATCGATGGATACCTAATCACATAACAATCCGTATAGAATATATTCTATGTACAAATAAAAACAAATGAGTAAGAAAAAATAAACAATTTCCTTTTTCTTCTTTCTTATTCATTAATAGAATGAAATGATTGATAGTGTTTATAGGACACCTGTTGTTTCGCTTATAAATAAAAATTAACCAACAAAAAGATTTAGAATTTACTCTCCTTCTAATTAGAAAGAGCTAATTTTAATTTACACTATTAAGATTTATCCTTCATACAAATTCTTATTTTCATCCAGAAATCGACATTTTCCAAAAGACACGGAATACGTTCTTTTACATAAAACAGATCATCTGTTCTTTTTAAACAACATCACATTCAAAAGAGCATAAAAACCCAATGAAACAAGATTTTTTCCCATTGACTCTCAAAATGGCGTGCAAAAAAAGCTAAAATTTCAAGATTGAAAATTTTCAAAAACTCGTTTTTTCGTCAAAATTAAATTTCCTGAACAAAAATATCAATGTGGAAAATCCAATTGTATGCATGTTGTAGAGTGTGAAAGTCTGCATTTCATGCTCGCCAGCTCTTGTTTCAAAGACACTTGGAGAGAAACATTCAAGCATATTCTGCGAAATGGTGAAATAAGACTGTACAATCCGCTCAACGGTTTCTATTGGGAGCAAATGTCAAAACTGATATTCATTCTGTAAACCATTTACTTTTTTCTAAAGAGTAGAATGGAAAGTTCTATTTGACAACGACATGCAATTGACAAATTTGGAGGAGACGAAAATTTTCTAGAGCATCTATTATTCAGGTGGAACGCCTTGTCTCACGCTTATCCCATCTTCGAAACGGTTGGTAGGGTCGCAGAATGTAAGAAAATGGTTATTGTAAAAACTTATTTTCCGATCTTTGAAAATGAGAGCTTGCCAGCATAAAATGCAGAGTTTGGCACTCTACAACATGCATATGATTGGATTTTCCACATAGATATTTTTGTTGAGGAAATTCAGTTTTGATGAAAAACCGATTTTTTGAAAATTTTTAATCTTGAAATTTTAGCTTTTTTTACAAGTCATTTTGAGAATCAATGGGAAAAAATCTTATTTCATTCGGTTTTATGCTCTTTCGGATGTAATGTTGCTTAAAAAGAACGAATAGTCTAGGAATATTTGATATTGTCGTGAAATCTTTCTTTAGCAATTTGCTTTTAATTCTGTCTCCCTTGTTCCCTCCTCTGCAGTATCTTCGGAACTTATTGTTGAACTTTGAATAACTCGTCTGTACAAACAAGTATCGCTAATAAATATGTTTTGGTGTTTTCCTGCCATAGGGTCGAGCTATAGTTCTAATGAGAATTTTCAGCGAAGTGTATGTGTACACGCTCTGAAAGTAAAGAAGAAAGCATTAGTTGGGTGTGAGAATTTAGAACATACTAATAAAAGATTTCTTTTCGTAAGGTTTTTCTATAAAGAGAAGTTTACAGACACTATTACTGACGGCTACTGAGAAATAAAACATAGTTCTTTTCCTTTACAATAAATAGAAGAATCTGTTTCTAGCTGACTAGCTGTTCACTATAAACAGACAAAATAACAAAACAAATGAAAAAGATATATACGGTTTCCGTTCTTTAATTAAGGTGCGTAGAATGCAAACGTGCAGAAAAAAATTTTTCCACTTTATTATTCGATAGAGTTTTTCGAACTGATCAAGAATATGTAATTGTTAATTTTTCGAAACTTTCTTTCCGTGTCGATAATCGAAAAAACTCGAAAAAACGATGATATTCGAGAAAACTTAGATTTTTCGACGTGGGTTTTTTGTTGGAACGTTCAAACTGTTTTTTCTTATTCAGCGTTAAAAGTTGAATTAAAAAATGATATTAAATCTATTTCGAAGATACACGCCTATCTATTCTAACGGAAATTCTCGGTTACAAAAAAGGAACATAGTGACTAGGTCCGAATAAAATAGACTTGAAAATTTGAAATCTATAATTTATACTCTAAAATATGTTCTTTCCGCGTTTTTATAGAGTTAATTTATTCTCTGTAACACAGGTGTAACAAACAAATTGTAGAATATAGATCGTAGATTTCAAATCTACTTTTTTACGCCAAATCACTGTTTTTCATACTGATCACTACTTCCCTTTTATCGTGGTGAACAACATAGATTAGTACAAATTGATCCAAAATTATTATCAAAAATCGCAGAATTGATGGAAAAATTTAGTGTAATATTCGATAACTTAGAATTTTCAAAACTATCAACTCTACAAAATGTTATTCCAAGTTACAAATACAATTGTATGAACATTTACGCTATGGTACATCTAATGATAATAATCCATTATCTTTCTGGCATCAACAACAAAGTTTATCAATTATGGCTGAAATTGCCAAATCAGTTTTCGTTATTCCAGTGTCATCAGCTGAATCGGAACGTCATGTCTCAACTGCCGGTCAAATTGTAACGGAATAACGTTCTCAATTGGATTCTGAATGTGTAAATCTCTCGGTTCTTGAAGAAGCTTATTTGAATAAAAAAAACATGGCCAAACTCCAAAGAATAGTATTGTTTGTACATATAGTTTTGTTTTATGTGTTCTTTTTTTTAGCGACTCGTCCACGTAACGGACAGATGTTTCCTTTTTTATGAGTTAGCTTAAAAGCCGCTAAATGGTAATAAAAAGATTAGCTTCCCTACATTAAATGGCAATGGTTCGACTAGAGAAACAAAAAAAACTGCTTAGAGGAAACGGGTCTTCATCCCAAGCAGGAGAAATATAATCATTAAAATCCGGTTATATTTTAATGGTTAGGACAAAGGGTCTTTCCTCTTAATAAAATCCACAGACTACTTGTTGCTAGATCGTGAGGCATGTTGAAATGGCCGGTTTTTCACCGGTTGGAAAAGTTTTTCAACCAGCCAATTCGGTTAGAAAATTCTCAATCGGTTCCAACTCTGACATGCCTCTTGAAACAAAATTTTTAGCACAAATAACGAGAAATAACGGGCATCCCAAACATCGAAAAGTGCAAAATATTACAATTTCACCAAAAATCTTTTCGATATTAAAAGAACTTGTTAAAAACTATCACATATTTGGTATTCATTATAAAAACAATTTCAATTCACAGAACGCCTCATTCACAGAATGTTAGATTGGCTCTAATAACGAACTGATCCTAACGATAATATATGTACTATATATACATTGAAGCGTGCAATAGTGCACTTTAGTGCACGTGCTAGAGTGCAGTATGCTAAGGTCTATTATTCAATAGTGAATGAAATGAAATTAGGTATACGATGACCTCTACAGAGTATCTGTACTAATATGATATACCACATGAGTGTTATGAACAGTCATGAACGATGATTTAGATATTTCAGCAGTTTATCTGCTCTCTAAAAAAATGGGTAGTTTTCAAAATCTGAACGGTTTTTTATTCATGCTTCTAAACCCAAAAGGGTATTATTGAATCGTTATAGTTTATTAAAATACTTTTTGGAAAGGTATTCTAAGAAAATAAAGGTTTTTTTTATTAATGTCACAAAATCCTAAAGGTATTTTATTGACTGTATATTAGGTACGTTATTTAGTTCTTGACCAAAATGGTTTAGGAGTTGAATTAAAAAACCTTTGGGATTTAGCAGCAATAATGAAAAACCCTGTTAGTTTTTTAAAATAGTAAAAGGGTTTATATGTCAACCCTTTGGGTTTAGTAACGAAAATAGAATACCTTTAGGGTTTTGTGACATTGATAAAAAAAAACCTTTATTTTCTTAAAACACTTTTTGGAAGTGTTTTAAAAAACCAGACCGGTTTAATAACGATACAAAACCCTAAAATGGTTTTTTTAAATGTGCTACTGTACCCTTTTGGGTTTAGAAACAACAATAAAAAGCCGCTTGGGTTTTTTAAACTGCCTATCCTTTTTAGAGAGTATGAATTAAATTATTATCAAGCAATCACATATATGCAAAAAACGTAAGAACAAAGTCAGTTCTTATTCATTGCTCTCGACATCATCACCGGTACTTATATCTGAATCACGAATTCTGTGAAAAACATCTAGTAGTTGTATGGAAAATGGCGTGAAAGTTGCTGAAATTCTTATAGATTTTGTAGAACTACTGAATAATCGACCTTAGTACACCGCACTCTTGCACAATTACGCGTTTCAATGCACGGATCAAAATTGTATCTCACGAGGGAACCGCTCCAAGTATTCCCGAGCTTTTTCGTCAAAACGCACATAGATATAGGTTATCGCTAATGCTGATTTCGAATATCATAGTCGGAGCGGCATACGGGTCCTTGGAGACCCGATTTTCTAGAAAACCAGATTTCAGGAACTCTGACAAATAACCCGACCCTTTCTTAATGGGTCATAATTGTAGCCCGCAAATTTCTGATTACAACAAGACATCTCCCAGCTCTATGCGATCTTTCTTTGCAAAGTTATACAATTTACAAGAAAAATCCTAAATGTTCATTGTCAACTCAAAGCTGCAGAAATAAGAAGAGATTAATTTAGGGCTTTTCTTGTAAATTGTATAACTTTGCAAAGAAAGATCGTATAGAGCTGGGAGATGTCTCATTAAGAAAGGCTTAGGTTATTTGTTAGAGTTTTTGAAAAACTGGTTTTTTAGAAAACCGGGTCTCCAAGGGCCCGTATGTCGCTCCGACTATGATGTTTGAAATCAGCATCAGCGATAACCTATGTCTATGTGTGTTTCGATGAAAAAGCTCGGAAACACTTGGGGCGGTTCCTTCGTCGGTTAAGAAACGAATATGCTCCCAGAAATATTTGTTTCTCAACTGAGATACTTGATTAAAGTATGGATTGTGGCTCGGCTGCCTACGTGTCTAACATCGAGCGACTAATGCAATTTGAATAACGTCAACTTGTGGAACAACTGTTCGTGATGAAAATGAGAATTGAAACAGCTTTCAGTAGCATTCAGGCCCGAAGAAATAAAGCGTCTAATAGAAGCAGGAAAGTATATATACCCCTGGAAAAAATAAGTTTTTCTCGGTATTTTGAGGATATTGTTACCAAAAGAACGAAAGAGATAGTTAAAAAGTGCAGTTTGTTAGAGTTTTTCAAGGAAGGTGCCTAAATAATATTGGAATTATTCTTTGACAAATAAGTGTAAAACAAGACATAAATACATAGAATGATAGAGAATTTCACGGGCTACCAAAATACACAATTACTTTTGTAAAAGAGTGTTCTTATAGTTATAATAATTTGAAAAAAATACTGAAGAAGTAGCGAAAAATATGCACTTTTTTGTACTTGTCAAAGTAGGTTGCCTTTACTGTATTCAAAGTTTTTCCCAGCAAGTAAATGCAAGACAATATATAAATATATAGGGTGATAGAAAATTTCAAGCTCTATCAGAATATGTGATTACGTTTGTCAAAACCTATTTGTAATACTGAAAAAATCTTGAAAAACTATACGAGATAACAATGATTGTATTAAGTGTGTGGAAATGAGGTACTGAGGGTGTGTTCACTTCATTGGAATAATTTTTTTACACAGCGATCCAAACAAAAATAAAAATATACAGGATGATGTAAACTTTCACGGGCTTTCAGAATATCTCGTTACTTTAAAAAGAATACGTTCTTTTGGTAACAATATTCTCAAAATACCGAGGAAAACTTATTTTTTCCAGGGGTATATATACTTTCCGGCTTCTATTAGAAGCTTTATTTCTTCGGGTCGGAATGCTCGATTCCAGTTTTCTCCAGTGAAATTCTAGATTTCGCTAGATAAAAGTGGAATCCGAGTTTTTCCTGATGAAATCTAGAATTTGACTAGATGAAACTGGAATCTAAGTTTTTTCCAGCGAAAACTGAGATACACACATATGCTGGTTCCACTTTTTCGGGATGAAAATTGGAATTTGATCAGATAAGAGTGGAATTTATGTAACGGGAATAAATTTCAAGTTATACAACAAAATAAATATTTTACAAAGATGAATGAAAAGGCACAGTGTCTAAAGGTTATTTTGTGCATCTCTTTTTCTTCTCCCCTCCCCCTCCAATGTCGTACTCTTCACCACACAGAAATTTCTGTTGAAGAGTTTTTATCTTTCTCTTTTAATATCTATTGTATCTAAATCAATTATCTCTTTCGGAGTAATGAGAAGAGTACAGACAGATTTGATAGATATGCGAGGTCGTTCTGATGTTGTTAGTGCTGATCTTATTTAGAATTTTAAAAGTTGTTCTTCATTTACGAACGATTTTTTTTTCATCTGGACCTTGTCGTACACTACATAGCGATAACGGCAAAGAATTCATTAACAGACTTGTCGTTGATTTAAAAAATCATTTTCCAGGTATGATGATTGTCGTGGGCGTCCACGTAATTCAAAGTGCCAGGGTTCAATAGAGGGTGCCAATGCAGTTTTATGTTCAGCTATTGGAAAATGGATGTCACGCACAAAGTCAAATCATTGGTCACATTCATTGTTACCTGTAGTTTATGGTATTAATATCAGAGAGTCATGTGGTATAAGTGTACACCTTATCAGATTATGTTTGCACAATATCCCGGTTCAAATTATTTATTTTGAGAGACTATTCAGATTGATGGTGCTGTTGAACATGATGATCTTTCAAAAAAAGTTCTTGATTTGTTACAAAATGATGATGATGATATTGTTGTTGATGATGAGCACAATGATGTGAAATATCCAGTACTGGCTGTTGCTATGAATAAGTTCGATGTGGCTATTGATAGCTGATGAAAAATTCAAATTTTATTGTTGATACTGCTCTGAATACTTCTTTTAATAATACAGTTGTCATTTCAGGCTCAGTTGCTAGTTCAACATCAGTTACAAGTGAATTCGAATTGATTCAGTTGATTCTAAATAAATTGTTCATCGTCCAATTTAACAGGTAGTCCTATATTTTCTCGACGTAGTGAAATTCGAAAATTTGCGACAGAAAATTATCTTGATGAGACCACTAAACACCAAAAATTATACGATTTTCATATGAAAAATTTGTCTTCTATCTATAATGGTGACTGTTAGTCAAGTCGATTGTACCAATACGGATGTAAAAATTCTTCCGTGCATAACTTTATCAAAATATCCGAGGAATAATTCTGATTCTTTTCAGTTGACTTGTCAGTTTGGGAAAATCAGTTCTTCTTTTTCGATTGAAAGTCTTATTGATATGCAATATGTTGTTTCTGTTGAATTGCCTTCATTGGATGAGACATTATTAGCAGAAATAACATTTATTCAAGCTTGCAAATATCTATCTTGTGATACAGTGAATAATGCCACATATGATTGTAAAACTAAATGTCCGATTAATCATTGCTCCTGTAAGAAAGCCAGAAAATACAACAAAATGTTAATAATAAAGAAAATGTTTAATTTGAGTCTACCCTGTTTGTTTTTTGGCGTATTTTACTCTTTGTAGATATTTTCTCTTCCTTTTTTCTTGTATGACGATTAATAATGTAGCTTTTCGTGTATTATTCTTGTTTTGTACAACCTACTTTATGTAACATCAATACAGCTATTATCTCTATTTAATCGATGTAAAAACAAGAGAAAGATAAAAACTCTTCAACAGAAATTTCTGTGTGGTGAAGAGTACGACATTGGAGGGGGAGGAGGAGAAGAAAAAGAGATGCACAAAATAACCTTTAGACACTGTGCCTTTTCATTCATCTTTGTAAAATATTTATTTTGTTTGTATAACTTGAAATTTATTCCCGTTACATAAATTCCACTCTTATCTGATCAAATTCCAATTTTCATCACGAAAAAGTGGAACCAGCATATGTGTGTATCTCAGTTTTCGCTGGAAAAAACTTAGATTCCAGTTTCATCTAGTCAAGTTCTAGATTTCATCAGGAAAGACTCGGATACCACTTTTATCTAGCGAAATCTAGAATTTCACTGGAGAAAACTGGAATCGAGTATGTGCACGCACATGCATTTCAGTTTTCGCAGGGAAAAACGTGGAATTTAGTTTTTGCTAGCGAAATCTAGAATTTCACTGAATTTCAGTTTTCGCTACAACATATATATGGCACTGATTCTATCTTTTCTCTAAGGTGATTTTCTGTTGGTAATGTTCATGATTTAGCAAATTTTTCTGTTAGAAAGTAGTCAGTAGTAAACCTATTTACTGAACCTCACCTTTTTGCAAAATGTACGTCGCATTCATAATAAAAGCTGAAACAATTTTGATATACAGCGTATAGATTTCTTATTGGGTCCATATGCATCTAAAATCTCTAAGAAAATGACAGCTCCAGTTCGTATATAGTTTTTTCTTCATAGTAATCGTACTATATACCTCATGCAAACAAACATCATTCTTTTATTCAAAATATTAATAATTTTGCTAACAAGAAAAAATAAAATGACATCCGAATAATGTTTGCAATTAAACTGGTGCATTTTTTAAACGTGCTATAATAACTAAGATATCATCTGGCTTTGAGTAAAATCGAACAGCTCGATTGACTAATTGTTCTGCTGCATGTGATAATGAACGACACTAGAAAAATAGACGAAAAAAAGTAATTTTATTAAACATTGAGTATATAATGAGTTTATAAGGCTTACATTAGCGACGATCATTTCAATCATATGATCATGTACATTATCAAAGAGTCCATCTGTTGATAAAATAATAATATCATCTTGGATCAGTTGAAAACTTTGACATATAGCATCGAGACTTCTAAAAAAAAGAGATATTGTGTATATGTTATCATATTTTATTTAATAAACGTAAGATAGCTTATTTACGATATTTGTGTATAATTTAATCCTTTTTGTTTTAGAGCTGCTGTCCACGGATAAACATCCAGTTGTCGGGGACAATCACCATTCATTTTTTGTGAACGCGAACGATAGAGAACCGTTCCATCACGTAAAATAACATAGCCACTGTCACCAATGTTCACAGAATACAAACGAGCAGTTGAACAATCAACTCCCACTAAACATGCTGTTGAACTACCTACAATAAGAAAAATAAACACAAGTGATTTATGCTACTATTCGATATTTAAAATAGAATTAATTTCTTTTTTCTACGGTCACCAATCAATTTGTCTTGTGTAGGTCCCTCTTGCTAAGTATCTGATCAGTTTTTCGTATATAAAATTAAGATGATCTATATGCATTCAAATGCCTTTTAGTGAATCTTTCATCTATTCATCGATATGATTATAGCTCTATTCTTCTGGCGTACGATCGGAAATAAAGCCATTATAGTATATTCTAATACTTTAACTATCGAAAAACTAAAATCAATTTTTTACGGATAGAAACTCGTGTCCTCAACAAATTTATTGTGTCCAATTCTATCCAAAAAATGAAATAGTCCTCTTATACCTTTATGCTAAAATTAGTGGCTTTTTATTTGAATACGTGTACAAATTTCATAGCGTTTTCCAAAAAAATTGTATTCTTCACGAGAAAAGAACCAAATGTCAGAAAAATATTTTTCCGTATCAACTACTCGTATGGTACTATTTTTCAATCTATTTCTAGCAAAACTTGATTCTGTCCTAAATGGTATATTTTCATCGCACATTTAAGATTACTGTTAGTGTTTATTCAAAAAGCTAAGCATATACGTTACCATAACAATTTTCATTTTGTACATAATCAAATGCATTGCATAATAATTTCTTTGGTTCTTGTACGGAGAAATTACCAGTATGAAACAAAGATAAACAGTTTTTCATTAACGAATTAGAAAATAATTTTGGATTGAATCCGTACATTTTATTACCACCTGCACCATCAGCTACACCTTGAAAAATAAAACATAAATCTTGTTTCATATCTTTCAATGATATCGTCCTTCGCAGAACGTTTAATTATTAACTTTACATTAACATTTACAAGTCTCGTCAATGCTCTCTTTAGTATTGAATCACTATTTTTGCTACTATGACTATCAACTAAGCAATAATCTTACCTAAGTAATGTTCCATTAATCGTTGTGCCGTAAATCCTGCATCATCGCCAAATTTTCCTGAATTTAACGAATAATTTTCTTTTGGTATAGGCAAACGCATATCTTTTTGCATTCCACATGTCACGACATCTAAGATAAACGATGGCATACTCGCTTTGTCCTCAATTTTTTGTACACTTAGTCCTCCATTTAATAAATACTTATTATAATTAATATCGTCACGTTCTGTGGCAGCTTGCTTATCATCATCAGGTGTATGAGGTACATGGTCGTGTTGATGGTAGTAGTGTCTGCGATGATGATGATGATGATGACGGTATGCATCTACTGATGGTAGTGATTTATATCGAACATCATCTAGATCTGCATAAATTTTACCAGAATAAAAATCATTTGTTATATCATAAAAGGAATTTTTTGGTGTAGATTTAGGTGAAGTGTAATGATTATCTGATAAGATGTTATTTAAAAATGAATATTTATCGTAATTATTATTATTATTATTTTTACTTGTTGAATTCGATTTCGTTAAATAACTATGCTTTTTTAAATAATATTGTAAATTTTGAACATCCGACGAAGTCAACGAGACACCAATACGTCTGTCGTTTTTATGTTGATCAACGACTTCAAATGTTCCATCGTTTGATGGTGATTTTCGACGCTTTTGATTAGATGTAATATAGTTCACATGGTCGTTAGCTGCATTACCAATATCTTCATGATTGATTATTTCATAACTGATCACACTTTTTGAGTCACGTCCACGTGTCATTTTAACAACGTTTTTTCGATAACTAATATTTGTTGAAGAGATATGAATAACTAAAATAGAAGAGGACTACTAATAATAATTATTTTTTAATCTTGTACGTTTAATTGTATTATGACTAAAGCGTATTTTATGTCTTCTGGTTTTATACTGGCAATCTTCAATTTCTGGGATACAAAATCTTTTTTTTCTCCAAAAGAACAGCATATTTTTGAATCAACATCAAAAATTAGATTAGATTGAATTATAGAAAATGCATCACTTCATAGTAAAAGATCTTGTACAGCTAAACTTTAACTTTCGCTACAACTCACAAGAGATCATCCTAGATGACCAAACACTTTTTACCTTAAAAACAATGAATTACACCAACTCGGTCACGGGTATTACGCATCTGATTCTTCATAGCTCATTGGTGATTCTAGAGCCGATTGCTGAAATCAAGTTTCTGGAAAACCAAGAAAAATGAAAAACGAAAGTATTCTAAAATTAACATTCTGTATAAAGCATGTCAAATTACCTATGTTATGATATGTTAAAGATTATTATATGTGCATGAACAATGCAAAAAAACTTTCCTTGTGAAGTATGACTGTAAGAAAAGCGTGTACATGCTTGATAGAGTTAATAAAACTCTTAAATTAACACAGACTCTCGGCCCAAATGACTTTACAAACATAAGTTACTTGACATATTTTATAAAATGGCAATCTTGCAAATGCATTCGTGTAACCCACGATTACTCAATGCTATTGAGAATCCATAATGATGTATTAGTTGACGCTTTTCTGATAGATGGAACATAGAGTATATCAGAAATTCCACCAGTGTATTCAATGTGCGAAGTCTTACATTAAATTTCTTTTAGTGCGCACCGATTGCGCAATCCTATGAGGAAACAGCGATATACTACAACGCGTTTATCAAGATTCAAAGTCCTACATGAATATGCCCTGTAGTGGATCTACAAGCTTCTGTTCCAGATCTATTTCAGACTTTCTTAAAATTCCGAAAAATTCTCCTAGGATGATTCGGAAAGGGATGTTTGTTTTTAATTTGTAGTACAAAAATCAAAGGTTGTTAGAAAATTGAGGATTTTGCTTGAGAAATGAAGCGATTCTCAAGACAGTTTGTTCAACGAGTTTACCAAATTTTGAAGTTTTCTTTGTATAGGTTGATAGTACTAAAGATATAATAGCTATGTAATAGCTGTGACCTTTTTGTATACTATACTCTCTTTGATATGTTAAATAACAAGCTGAATGTGGAGATATACTTGACTTGGGCTCCTAGTGGGTCGCCTAGAAGATATACAAGAACATCCTGAAATCTCGCAGTTGTGTAATAGTATAGCAGGCACTGTCGAATATTTATGATAAAATTTTCACGTCCAACGGATTTTGTTGCAGATTAGTACGTAGAATAAGATAAAAACTTTTTCCCTTATCAAATTTCAGGTTTTTAGAACTTTCGTATATTCAATATCTTAGCAACCATTCAACTTACGAGGGAAGGGCTCCACGTTGCAAATCGTTTTTCGATGAAACTAAGTGGACAATATGTAGTTGATGACGCTGATTTCAAATATGAACGTCGAAGTTGCCATTAGGCTTTTGTTGACCGACTTTCTGAAAACTGCGATCTTCCGAAAATTAAAAATCAAATTCAGAAAAGTTTTCTGAATTGGCCATTTTGTACAGGACACAAAACTGTCGATATACCATAAGTTTTAGTTTTTTAAAACAAAAATCAACAGCGTAGGAAAATTTCTCAAAAGAGTGGCTACGCTGGTTTTAATATAAAAAAGTTGCAATAGGACACTTTGCAGATATCATAGCACCGTTTAATGGTATTTTGAAAAACTAAAACTTATGGAACATCGACAGTTTTGTGTCCTCTACAAAATGGCCAGCTCAGAAAAATTTTCTGGATTTGGTCTCTGCTTTTCTGAAGATCATAGTTTTGAGAAAATCGATCAACAAAAGCCTAATGACAACTCCGACGTTCATATTTGGAATCAGTGTCATCAATTACATATAGACGACTTAGTTTCATCGAAAAAATGCTTTGCAACTGGGAATCCTTCCCTCGTCAGAGATCTGCAATTTTCAACAAGTACATAAAAATGCTTGAGTTTTAATTGCGATGTATACCGAACAAATTAAGTCTATTGCAGGTGCCTTAAATATTTTACGTTATTCAAAGACAGACAGAGGACGAAATATCTTCTATAATCTTGCATGTTTATTTTTTTTTAAAGAATACTTATTATTTTATGAAAGATGACCTCTAAAATTCCAAAAAGGTTGCAGAAATATTTGAAACAAAAACGATCTGACCTTTGCGGCTAATATTTTCGATCGAGTGATCAAGTTGAGTTGATGTTATTTTCTGTTCAATCCTTATAGTAAAAAATGTCTAACATATGTATAACCATGATGCAATAGATAACCTACAATACCTTGATATACCTTTCGAGCTATCGAGGTTAGTCACTAACATGCCCTGGATCAAATACAAACATACTATCAAACATGAAATTGTTCAACCATGACAAAGAACTGCAGAAAAAAGTAACGTTATTTTTCTATTGAATATATTTTATAGCCTATGCCCTTAGTCTAGAGTATAAGGTTTCGTAATACAATAGACGAGTGTCTACACTATAAGAAGAAAGTGTACGCAAAATCGCTCTTGATTATCTGAAAACCGCGATGAATTAAAAGAGCGAAGGTAATGACTCTTCTACATTCAACAGATAATCTGTCTGGTCTAACCTATCGATTATCATTGATATTTCGATGTAAAAAATAATATGAAAAACTGAAGCATCTGATGCTATTCACTTAATGATCTAACGAATTAAATCCTCAGCGTTATTTTATATGATTACACAAGGACATACTGAACACAGACGGACATTTTTCAGTGCACAAGCTTTTACTACACCGAAAACTAATAATTTTTAATATATGTTAGATACATCATATACAAAAGAGAAAAAATTTTTGTTTCACGTATTCATATGAAGTCGTGACAGATTTGGCTGAAGTTTTTTCTGTAGACGAGTTGAAGAAAATTTTTTTTGCAGGCTACTTATAGGCAGCTGTAACTTTTATATCTAAATTCTCGACAATTTTTGGTCCTGAGATTGCTACCCTGGATAGAGAGCCTGCACAAATTTTGGACATTTTCCAAAACTCGTCCACGAAATAACTTAAGCCAAATATGTTTTATCTCCATAAGTTCACATTTTGCAGCTGTTAACGTTTTCTTCAGTGTATTTGAGATTCAGATTTGATGATGTTTTAGCCGATATATTTCAGCTTCTTAAAATTTCACGTTTACATTTTGTAAACTCACTTTTTATGGTTAAAAAAATTTTTATTCATCAGATGGTCAAAACTTTACTGTTTTTAGATGATATATTGCACATTTCTATGTGTAAGCTTTTTTAACGATAAAACAACAGTATCAGCATCGTCAGTATACTGTTGTTAATAAATAATAATTATTTTGCCTCAAAATTTTAGCGAGTTGGAATGATTTTTCGATCAATTCTTTCTGCACTGTATTTTACCGTGATAAATCGTGAGAGCGTTTGTAGTTTTTTAGCTCAACAAAAATTTTTTCTTTCGTTTGTGGAAACAAATTATCTTATTTTCAAGTATATGTATACAAGCATGATCAACACTTTTATCCACGCCTTCCAGCAACGAAAATGATGTTAATGATAACGAATCTAGTAGGCACAACTTTATGTATATTTCTCCTATTGAATACTACTGCCAATTCAAAACAATGCTTCTTCAACGTTAAAATATTTGAAAGAGCTAAATAAAAAAAATATATTTTCACACTTATACAACCACAATATAACAGATGGAAAGCTATATATAGCTATATATATATCGATGAAAATTTGTTTTCTTATTTCCTTTTCTTGTATCCAATATTCTCAGCTATCTCATTTTTCGCTTCACTCAAGTTGGTAAAAAATATACATATGCGTGAAATAGACTATAGACAATTTGTCAAAAATGTCATTAAAATGAGCAATATATTGAAATACTGAAATGTCAAATAAGGCTTTTGTCACAAGTAGTAATTTCACATTGCCTAATCTGAATAATCGTTCCGTAACCGCATGAAGTCAAGCCTGAATAGGTTCCCGACATTGGAGGAAGTAAATCATTTTTCGCCGGAGGTAGTGTGACTTTTAATTAATAAATTTCGCGTCCGAGGTAGTGTAAGTCGTTTATATCATATTTCTCCGAATGTCCACACAGTTTTCTTGAGAATAGTCTTGTATGAAGCGTAAAAGTTTCTTAGTTTGTATAGCTGGTTGTATGTACAATTCAAGTGACTAGTTTGCGAGAAAGGACTCACACAATTCTAAAAGTCTTCAATTGATAATCTCATGGCATTAGTGCTATTATCCACGTTAGTTTGAATATTCCTGAACTTGTATACACTAGTTTAGGAACATTAATAAAAGAACAAAAATATGAAGAGCAGGATGATGATAGTGACAACGATGAAATGGCAACAACTACAACACAGAATGATGATGCTTTTGAGACACAAAAAAAAATAGTATTCAACTACGAACTTCCAGTAGTACACATTTTTTCTTTTCCCATTGTTTAAGCTAGAAGAAACTTGTAGCTTTAACTGTTTTCACAAACATTTGAACTTTGAACAAAGTGCATCAGCACAACAATGATTCAAAGTAACGTGGATAATAGCACTAATGCCATGAGATTATAGATCGAAGACTTTTAGAATATTGTGTGAGTCCTTTCTCGCAAACTAGTCTCTTGAATTGTACATACAACAAGCTACATAAACTAAGAAACTTTTACGCTTCATACAAGACTATTCTCAAGAAAACTGTGTGGACATTCGCCCTTCTAGGACTTATACTTTCTGAGTTCTGGACGGTTTTCTAGAGTCCGCTCGGCGGAAAATTTAGCATCTAAAAAATACTAGAGCAAAAATAAAGATTCTGTTTCTCCGCCAAGACAAGTGATGGAAGAGGGAGTTTTTCATCCTATGTAGTCAATTGCACGGTCTATCCAATAATGCGATCAGATCGTTTTTACCTCCGACCTTCAGCCCGACACCTAAGGTCTTCTGAGGATTTTAGGTTTATATTGTTTGACGCCGTTCTCGAACGTATGGCTTAAGTATAAAACGAGATGTACTTTTTCATAGGCATTCAAGTGTGGACTATCCGAATCCGATGTCCAAAAAAGTTTTTAAATTACGAAATTGGAAAGAAAAATTTTTAGGTTGTCGAATTTATGGCTTAGAAAAACTGAAAAACTATCAGTGATATCTCATTTTGTTCAAAATTTTGTGCTCTTTCCAATTACGTAATTTAAAAATTTTTGGTAAACTCAAGGGGTTTCCAGAAACTCTCAAACGTTTTCCAGAGATCCTTACAAGACTCCAAACTTTTGAGACCGGGTTAGGATAGTCCACACTTGAATACCTATGAAAAAGTATATCTCGTTTTATACTTAAGCCATACGTTCGAGAACGGCATCAAACAATATAAACTTAAGATCCTCAGAAGACCTTCGGTGTCGGACTGAAGGTCGGAGGTAAAAACGATCTGATGCATTATCGGATAGACCGTGCAACTGACTACATAGGATGAAAAACTCCCTCTTCCATCACTTGTCTTGGCGGAGAAACAGAATCTTTATTTTTCAGAATTAGTTATTAATCAGAAGCAAATCTGAGACATCGAATGAGCATGATTTGTTGTTTCTCTCATATATGCGAGATATATGTCATTTCACGTCCTGGAATCCTGTGTTATGGTGCAGCACGCACTCAAACTTTGGAAAACGTGGAAAATCGCCTTCAAAAGTTGCTTTTTCAAGCGTTAAACATTTTGTGATCTCAATGCGGACCACTTCATCGGATAGAGCTTGAAAAGATGCGTCGAATGCATATCTTTTAGTCTTGTGGATACGATTTTATGGGGAAAATATGGTTTACAAAAAAGGGCTATTTTTCGGAAATAATGATTTTTTAAAAATTTCCCTGAGAACATACTTAACATTTTGGAACTTTTTGTCCGTTAGTGATTTGGTACCTCTGCACATATAGAATCTAATCTGACGGTATTAGCTCATGAAAATGTTTCACTAAAAAATAGTGAATATGCCCACAAAAGGTCTGCTACCCTACACCGAAAGATAACGGGTCTATCTATCTATTTATCTATCTCTGTTCTGCTGGAAAATG